AGTTCAAAATTTTACCATAATAGATAAATTATTTTATTTATATTTTGTGAAATTTTAATAAAAATTGGTTGTAATTTTAAAAAATTTTATAGTAATATATTTCAATTTTATATAAAAATTTTAAAATACCATATAAAACTATATAAAAATGATCTATATACCCTCTACCCTTAAATTGAAGATCAGTAATAAGATTTTCTAATTCTTAATTAAAATATTGTGTATGTTAATTTGTTTTAAAATATGTAGTAAATTGTTTTAATTAACCTTTTATAAAAGGGAATATGAGAGAATAATGAACCTAATGTAGTGGTTGAGTTGTAATCCTCCAAGCAGTAGGTTCAATGTTCAATTCTTATTGGTAACAGATTTTAAAAAAATAGACCTATTCTGACAAACTTATCTGTAATCTGTATTTGTAGATTCTGTAATTCTGGTTATATCAAGATTAACTTTGAAAGTGTACAATATTACACATTAAATCTGAAAAGTATATACTCAGATTAGAAGCCTGCTTGGAAATCCTGAGCAGAGAGGTAATACAACTTTTAACAGTGCCACCTGTAAAGATCTTGATCTGCTGAAGAAAACCTGAGGCAAGTGACCTGTACAGGCAAGAACTTCTAGGTAGGGAGTTCACCAAACTGGCCACCAGTTGATCTGAACATGAAGTCACATCATGCAGAGCTAACTGAATTGGTAGTATAAAAAACTTGCAAGAGTAAATGAGGTAATGGTGAAGTTGTAAAAAGAGGGTACTGGGGTTGTATGAACTTCACAAGGGTTGTAAACTAGGTTTAGCTATAATTTGAGATACAGAAGGTTCTAGTAATGATGTCTTGAAGATAATCTGCATGAAATAAGGCAGGGGTCCTAAGGATATGGGTAAGCATCTAGAACTTCTTGACTGACATTATGTAATGGAGATGTTCTAGTGATAACAGTAAGAATTGCAGTACAAAAAGTTTAAATAAGCAACACCTGTAGTTGAATTGCAGGTATGGCAGTTAGTATAGAACCTATATATAGGCAGACTTCTTAAATTAGACACCAAAAGTGTATATGTAGTTAGATGTATTTTCTAATGTAAAGTAGCTACTCTGAGGTAATCAGACCATGAGTTACCATGTCCTACAATAATGAATAAAAAAGCCTTAGTTCTTAAAAAACTAGTTTAAAAAAAATATTAAAAAAGAAAATAAAAGAAAATATAGGTCAAGTTTGCTGTTGAAAAAATCTAAGTTCTAACCAAATTCTTTAATAAAAATGAAAATAAAATCAAATATATTTTAATTATTTTAAAATTTATTTGATTTTGTAAATATGAATTAATTTCTGATAAAGTTTTATGATTTTTGTTAATTATTAATTTATAAGAAAAAAAATCAGATCAATATTCAATATAAGTTTTAGAATAAAAAATAATTCAGAACTATCTTATAATATTCAAAAATAAGATTTTATATAGATTAATAATACTATACATCTTTAAATAAGTTAAATATCAACCTCTTCATGCTAGTGATTTAATAAATACAACTTTTATTTTTACTAATAAAATAGAAAAAAAGAAAAATCTTTAAAAGTTTTTTATATATTACTATAAATAAAATAAAATCAGTATATAAATACATATATTAAAATTTAATAAATTAAAAATTACCTAAATAAAGAATATGAGCACAACAAGGTGAATGAATAAGTTGTAACAAAAGTGTTACAAGAACTTTTTTATACTATTTTTTTATATACATTGCTGAATTAAATAAAAAAAACAAATAATATTAAAAAAATATTATAATTAAAAAGAATATATATTAAGGTTTAACCTATTGTTGTATTATTAACATATTCAAAAAAATTTATAAAAACTAGTTAATAGAATTACAAAACACAAAAAGAGTATTAACTATACTTTAAGTACAACTATCAGTTTTATCTATTATAATTGTAATAGGTTTGTTATTAAAAAATAATTTAAGTCCATTTTGATGTTTTTAAAAATTTATAATAAATAAATTTGTCTTAATGTTAAAGATTAAAAAATTATTTCATTACACTTAAGATGCTTTTTAAAAATAGAAGCAAATGATTTATTTTCTTAAGTAGAATATTAGTAGCAACAATTATTTTAATCAAATTTTCAATAATTTCTTTTTCAACATCTATTACATTTTTAATTAGTTTAAATTAATATTTGCTTTTTTGGATATTCTTAAACATCAAATATATTTTTATATAGCTTATACATATTGCTATTATAATGATTATTAACTGTTAATTTTGATCTTTATTCTACAGATTTATTATAGTATAAAACATATTAAATTATTATCATCAATATGAACAATATTTATATATTCTTAAATTCAGATTAAAATTATAATAGTTTTATTTTTTGACATTGTAATTAATGTTAATTTGAAATACTAATATTAAGTTTACTATTTTTATATTTTTCAAAGTTTTTTAATTTTATTAAAAAACTTTTTTATAAAAATTTATAAAAATCAGAACTTAGGCTTTTAATAATAAAATATAAGGGAACCATAGGTATTATGATGTGGGAGTATTGTGGCACACTTATGTTTTTCAATAATATCTTATAATCTACTAATCTGAATCGAATAATTTTAGTACCATTCGGTTCATCTTAGCAAGATGAATCAAATAGTATAAAAATCAGATTACTTAGATTGATAGACTATAAGATAGATGTAAAATTCTAATAGAAATGTTATTAAAATCTGTAATGTTTATCAAACTAATCCAAAAAATTGATTACATATGATTAGAACATTTAATAAGAAATGTAATAATTATTATTTCAGATCATAAACTTTTTTCATTAAATAAATTCATTTGCTCCAATTTTATATATAATGAGTTATTTTCAGAAATGGTGTAAACTATAAAATTTAAAAAATACTGAGTAAAATTTATTGATTTGTATTAAAGTTTACCTTGGCACTAACCATGTTTGCTATATATCTTTTTGTAAAATAAACAAAAAGATTTATTTTTTAAATACAACTTTTTTTGCTTGTGAACAATTGATTTTATAATCTAAGTGCATAATTACTTGAACATTTGCCTTAAACTTATGCAGTATATTATTTTAGCAAATTACTAGAATTGCTTTAGTACAAAAATAAAATTTGCTATTTTTATAGCAAACTAGATCATTAATAAAGATAAACAAAATTGTAGTTTTAATTAAAAAATCAAATCATGATTGTTTTGATTCATATACTCTTTTTGTTCTATATAATTATGATCATAATCATTTATTCTTTTAATCATAATCACAATTTTTTTTATATGTGATTATAATTTATATTATACAATTAAAATCAATTAAAATTGTTATAAAATTAATTGAAACTCAACTAATAGCAAAATAATTGCAATTAATTGCAATTAAATCAATTTTATTTCATTATATTATTATATTACTCTAGATTGACATAATAACTTAATAGAATCTTAGTGAATATATGATACATGGTCTAATTACATAAAAATCTAATTGTGGCTACATTACAGTCAATTAATTGAGTTTGAAAAATTGCTATACAATCAATTATTCAGTAGACCTAATATATAAAGTAAAACAATTATGATAATAATTGTGATTAAAACAAATAAATAATAATTTTAAATAAAAAATCAATCACAATCATGATTATGATTGAACAGCAAAGACTGTCAATATTACATATATATTAAAACTAGTAAGAGATTATATCAATCACAATTGAATCCAACATAAATAATTTAATTTGTGATTAATCACAGATGAGAGAAATTCATTTTGGATTGGGTACTGTCTCTGCTATATCATGATTATAATCTTATACAATCAAATACAAAATATATAAATAATCTAAATTTGTAATTAAACAAAAAGCCATATTAATAAAATCAAATCAAATCAAAAAAAAATAAAAAAAAACACAAAATGAGCTTCAAAATTGTGTTCAAACCCAAAGCTACATCTAAATTCAAAGTTATACCTAAATCCAAAAATTCATTTAAATTCAAAAATATATCTAAATCCAAAATCATGTCTAAGTTCAAAAATATAGTTAAATATACTATATAGAAATTAAAACCTTAACAAAATCGAACTGCATATATATATGCTATTGAGTCTGCTCTTAAGACTCTTATTAGCTCTGAAAAACTTAGTATTCAGAAAGCTGCATTAAGATACAGGGTTGCTGCAATGCCTTTAAGACATGCTAAAAAAAATGGCTTGCCTAACCATTCTGGCCTTGCAACAATTTTAAGTACCTATGAAGAAAAACAGTTAGTAGGCTATTGTTTGAATATGCAAAAATTAGAGTTTGGTCTTATATGATTTGGTGTAAAGCATTGTATGATGAATACTGTAAGAAGTAACAAACATGATCATCCTTTTAAAAATAGTGAACCTTGCAAGGCCTGGTCTATGTGTTTTATGAGAGATCATTCAGAATTGTCTTTTTGTATGCCTCAGGCCTTGTCTGAGGCATGTGTACAGAAAGCAAATCTAATTATTATTAAAGATCACTTTGATAAGCTTCATAAAATAATTAAAGAAAAAAAACTCTTTCTGCAAATCCATTGCACAAAAATTAACAAAAAAATCGTCCATCTAAAAAACACTTATAACTTTTTATTTTACTAAGCCAACTGTCCTGGTGTCTTAAGTAAACTTGTTCAGCTCAGTGATTTACATATACTCTGAAAATATCATAGATCTAGCTCTTAAACTCACAGAGAAAACTGTACTGACGGCCTTTGACCCTCAATT